GAGGGGGCGCGACCGTTAGTGGGAGGGGGCGCGAGCGCGCCGTTGGGGCAGTCCCTGCCTGTGGCGCCCGTTTGATATTTGAAGTAATACTCCTGATTGCAGTTAAATTTTTCTGCAGTATATTCTCAGGTAAAGAAATCCAGGGGGACGCATCAAACACTGCCTTCTAGCCTAATCTTGATTTTAGTTTGGTGATAGTTCCTGAGCTGTGTGTACAAATTCTGGAGGATTTTAGCTGTTGAGCATTGAGATTTATACGTTCATTTAATCCTTGATAGTAAATGGAATCTTGTGATTCTTTTCATAGAACTGCTGCATTTGCCTAAGCCCCCTGGAATATTTAACAACTCTTCCTATCAATTTTTTAGTTTTCAAAAGGTATAAGATGTGTGCAAACTGGCTTATTTTAAGTAGAGGAGGGAGAGAAAAAAATTATATTATTATCTGTGTGTTCTTTAATTGCTTGGATAAAAAATGTTTTTTAAAGTTGATTTTTTTAAACTTAACAAGTATAATACTTTTGTTTTATCTAGTAACAATAATCCTGAAAAATGGAGGAGAATATATATCAAGTTTATGAAGATGAAATTCGATCATTGGAAGAAGAAATTCAAATGTTGACTGAAAAGTATGAAGACATACAACAAGAATCCACATTTTATTCTGATGAGGAGATAGTTACGTCAATGTATGAGTCTTCTAATATCCTGGATTAATATTAATATTTCTTTTCAATGTTTCTTTTATTAGGTTAGGCTTCTGCTCCAACTTTGTGGCAGTTGGGTTTTTGCCTGTGTTATTTTGACAGTGCTTAATATAATGCAGAACTTCTTTAAGAAAAAAATAATATATGCTAAAGGAATATAAATAATAAATAGTTTACTTTTTTTCAGACACTCATAGCAGTCAGAACAGCTCAGCGATAATATCTTCATCCTTAAAAAGATGGAAAAAAAAAAAAGGCAGGGAAGGACTGGGGGGACTAGTAGTTTCACTAGCTCTAGACTAAGGAATTGTTTATTTGGAAGTGACTCTCTGAAAATCAATTTGGGTCTGAAAACATTCCAAACTCCTTTTACTTTAATGGTATTGTTGTACTGGTATGATAAAACATGCCCTTATAAGTGAGTCTTTTGCTGTTTTGATGTTGTTGTTTTTGATTATAGCAAGTCATTCCAAAGAGAATTTCAGGGAGAGCTGAAGGAACATGAATCTCCATCAGACCTGAAAGCTCAACTTGAAAGTCTAGAAACAGACCTCTCATTTTTAATGAAGTTTACTGGTATTTGGTTTACAAGGCATTCCAAGAAAACTGTGGAAAAAAGTAAGTATTTTTCTACTTGGCAATGATGTTCTACCAAGCATTCTGTTATTAAACTTGTAGATGTATCTTGTAATTTAGCTTTCAGTATAAGCAGGAAAAAAAAGTACCAAGTAATTATCTCTCTTGATAAAATTTTCACATAAGTATAGTGCTTTGCATACTACTAAGCAAAAGAAAGTGAAAGGCTACCATGAAATTAGCCTTTTTTCTTAACATGTTCCACTTTGTTTCATGGTTTATAACTATTATATCTTTGTATTTATTGGTACTTTAACTGTGACTAATAGAAGAAATGCAATAATCAAGGATTAATCAAACATTTTGTTGCTTTCATTTGTAACAGCTGGAAGCAGAACAATACAGAAGCACAGGTTAGCAGGAAATTGCCACTCCCTGCCTTTTCAATTGGAATTTCAGCTTCTTGAAATAAAGGTAACGAGCAATGTATGTTTAAAAAAACAAGCAAACTAACAAAAACCTCAAATGGATAACTGTTAATATTTGTTTCTTTAATTGAAATTAAAAAGTATTTATTCCACGTAAGGAATATTGTAAAGAAAACTTACTTCCTCCCTTTGGTCTTGAAGGAACTGAGAGGAAAAAAAAAACTATAGCATAGTAAACCTGAACAGCTGTTGTTTTGTTTGTTGATTTTTGATTTTTTTTTTTTTGATTTGTTTAGCATCATGCTTGCTTGGTAAGTATGACTAACCATTATGTCACAGGGACAGTACAGAAGTTAACTAGTGATTGCAGACATTTTGCGAAGAAAGGCTTTTAATCTGGCTTCTTGGTACAGAATCTAAAATGATGAACAGTGGAAAACAAGTCCTCAAAATTATTATAATGTTTTTAACTTTCAACTCTTTGCAGCTCTAGTTTTAAATGCAGATTGCAAATGGCCAATGATTGGAATTAATACTATTTAAAACTGCATGACTATAGAAAGGTGTCCTTCCTAATCTTAAGAAAAGCTATTGTGAATTTAGATAATTAATATTTAGGAGGTCACATATGGACTGCACAATTCCTGACTGCAAAAGCTCGGTTGAAGGAGGTTATTCTGCAGCCACTTAAGTCAAAGTGTGATTTGAGATTTGTGGTACTGGTGCTACGATTTTAGGATTTGCTTATATAAAACTGCATTTAACTTTGAGCCTGGAAGTAGCCTCAATCAGTCGTGAGACTTGCATTACTCTTTATCTGCCACTTACATGCTTCTGCAGAATGAGGACTGCACTATAATTTTTGTGTAAGGGAACAAAGATGAATAATTTGAAATTAAGTTTATTTAAAATATGTAAGTTTGTCCTCAAAGAATCATGTACCACTAGATGGCAGTACTTATCTACTTAATGTGTAAAACTGTAATACTTTAGTGCTGTTGAAATAAACCATTTATTTCAAATATAACCCCTCCTGCCCCCACAAGCAGATAAACCAAAAATTTCAGTGGAAACTTAAATGATTTGAATAGAGTTATAAAAAACAACCTGTTGTTTTTAGTTTTGGCATAGTGAGAGACTAGCATACATTTTGTATTGTTGATTTTTGAATTGTTTGGCAGCAAATGTTTGGCAGCAATTGTCTTTGGGTATTAGGAGAGGGCACAATCAATTAGCTTGATAATCTGACCAAACAAGTCTGTTGAGAAAGTAGTCACTCAAATAATAGTTGCTTTCTTTTCATAAGCTTTCCTTTTATTTTTACTTGACCCCATAGTCTATATGCTAGAATTCATCTATAGGGGACCCTCTTTTTCTAACTGCTAGCAGCTGCTTCACAACTCCTGCATCTCTTGCTCTGGATTTAAATGACTTTTCCTGATGTTGCTTACTCAATCCACTTTATTCTGTAGTGTCTTGGCTCGCTTTTTCCATCTTTATTGATGGCAATGTTATCAGTGCTGCTGTCCAACCAGTACCATGGATTGCTGTGGTGCACTTGGTATTGATCCCAGCTTGTCCATTAAGCTTTTTCCCTGTGTGTTGCTCCTCGTGTTTGCTCATAGTGACTAGGCATAGGAAAAACAAATATGACATCTCCAATAGAAAGTAAAACATGTGCTGTGGCCTTCAAGCTGTGGTTTTAAAAATTTTCATTCACTTTTGGATGACGTAAGTGGTTTGTTGTGTTCAAAAATGTGTAATAAAAATAATTGAGTTATTTTGTGGTTTCATTTCTACTATTTGAACACCCTTTTTTTATAGCTTCTTAGGTATTTTACTTTGGAAATATTTTAACTTTGTATTGTCCTGCAGGTACTTATTATTCATGGCTATTACTGTAAAAAAATTACTGTAAAATATTACTGTAAAAAAAAAAGAATTTGACAAAAAACTGGAGATTGTGAAATAAAAGAAGTGAAATGAAAGAAGTCTTTTTTTTTAAACTTAGGACAATGTTTTTATGCTTTTTGGAGGAAACATTATTATATTTGACTTTTCTGCTTTAAATGGCAGCTAGGGGTTGTATTGGAAAATGAGAAGCAACTTTGATTAAAGAAGTAAAAGCTACATGGAAGGAAGTAGATGATCTTCATGTGTATAAGTTTTCCTTTCAATTGGTGTATTATCTGGTGTAGAGTAGTTCTAGCATTATTCCAGAGATCTCCTTCCCTGGATAATACAGATAGAACAGAATACTGTTAGAATGAAATAAAATGTTGAGATGAACTCTACTTCGAAAAGTCTTATTTTAAGAGTTTTTTTTTTTTTTCTTCAAATACCATCATTTGCCTATAATTTTATCTGCTTTTTTTTTTTCTTTATTAAAGAAATTTCTTTGACATACGTTGTTATTTCTCTAATCCAGAACAAAGAGAGTGTGTCCGCTGTTATTACTGATCTCAACATTATAACGGAATCTGGGGAATATTCAGGTGTAAGCAAGTTTGTGTCCAGGTAAGTGCGGAGATTTAGTTGATCTGAGATTTTATTGCTGTTGTTTGTTTTTTAAGAAAAGTTATTTCATAGGTTATCTGATACTTAAGACAATATTGAGCTTTTCATACTGAGTTGTTTGCTTTGCTTAGAGCTTGTAACATGTTACTATCTAAATGCTTCCTCTCCTTTGGGAGGGATGTTGAAACGAATGTAGTTTTTCAACCTTGAAGGGACTGTAATGCCTTTGTGTTAAACAAAAGCAAGGTTTTTGCTGTTTTGATGACAATGTATTCTAGTTGCTCACCACCCTATTTTCTCTCCTTGCCTCAGAAATTTTCACGAATGTTTGGAAAACAGTAGGTAATGATAATATTGATTAAAAAAATGGGATAGTGTGTTTGTGCAGGGGCTTAAGAAAACATACATACTAAAACTCAAGCCTGCTACTATATATTTTTAAAATTATTTTCTGGGAAGCATCATCTCCTTTTGATACACAGGATGAATAATGGTCAACTAATTTCCTTTATCTTTGGTATTCCACTGCAAAATCTGCTAGAAAGCTACTCTAAGAACAATTCTATTATTTATTAATTAGTGCTAGGTAGTTGACTTGTAATTTTAATTTTGTTCTTTAAATGACTTTTAGGGGAGAGAGGAGGAAGGCAAATGGGGCGACAGGGAAAAGGTCTGTCATATTATCTCTGACTTGGTTTGCTTGTACTGAAAGCTGAATTTTTCTTCAGAAAGAGGAAAGGTTTAGTATATCCACACAAATCTCTGCTACTAAAGTTAGAGGGATCACTCGGAATACTATTTGACCAAGCACCGAGAAACAGAATTTAGAAGAGAAAATGACCCAGTGTTTCACAATTATTTTGTGACAGAAGGGTTTTGGAGTAAGCTGAAGTTTTCATAAGGTGCATAGGACGATTTAAGACATGCTATAACTAAAAAAGCAATTCTATCCTTTCCTTAGCAAGTATTTGCATGAACCATGTATTATCTTTGCATCAGTATATACATACTTGCGAAACTACAAGAATCAGCCTAGTCATTTCACTGAAAAAGCAATATGCCAACCCCTTCTTTCCATCCCCATACCTTCAATCAGTTGGATATGTCTTCTAGATTTGACTTGTCTTGTAACTTTATGAGATTTAGTGCGCATCTAAGTCATAAGCTATGTGGCCAGAGTGGGGTGATGTTGGTAGTGTCTGTTTTGACACCAACCCACCATTAGGTAGGTTCAATTGGACTACAAGATCTCTATTTATGGCTCTCTCTTTCTCAGTCCCCTTATTTAGCTAGTTTCAATTTCTTACTTTAAGTCACAGTTCCCTCTTTTCATGTCCAGTTTCAGTCTTTGCCCAGCTAACCCCTTTACTTTATCAGTTACTCTCAGAATCTTGGTTCCCAGCTCTTCCCTCCCTCCTTGCCTTTCCATTCCCTGGCTAACTGAATCTGCTCTGTTTCTGTGTTCTTCTTTTCAGCCTCCCCATTTTTCCGAGCCTGTCAGTTTGTTTTCTTCTGTCAATTCCCTGTTCAGTTTTTTTTGCCTCATGGCCCAGCCTTGCCAAATCCATTGTCTTGTTCTGTTTGGTTTTCTCTGGTGGCCTGTTTTCTTCCCCCCTGCTCCTTCTCAGCATTCTGTTTTTTAGTTTAAATTTTCATAGGAGGACTTTAATAGCACAAGAACTGAAAACTTGGCAGACAGCTGTAATTCCAAAGCCCATGCTGCTTTGGAAGAAAATAGTAATTTTAGAACATTTGAAAAACACATTGTTAAAGGAAGCAAATCAGTTAATTTTTGAACAGGTACTTGTTGCAATATATAATATGTATTTTTAAAAGGCATACAATTCTTTAAACATGTTGTAATAAAATTTTACACAAATGGAATCACAATATTTGTTCTTGTTTTTAAACTTTACTCGAGTCCCCTTTTGCATCGTTATCACTAGTGGTGTGTTTCTACCTTTGAGTACTGCTGTAAAAATCCTGTTGGTAATCTTTCTTTTAAATTTGGTTTCCTTTTACTTGATTGGGATAGTTAACTATTGCATTATTATGTAATCAAACCAGAAAGTGTTTTTGGGGTATTTTGAGAACGGCTCCTACTTTTTACTACTTAAATTTTAAGTAGTAATTTAAGTCAGAGTGAAGGATTTGTGAAATGTTCGCTTTACATTAAACATTCTGTGGGTTAAGTATCTTGGAAATGAGGGGAACATGCACAGCTGTAAGAATCATTCCTTAGTTTTAAGCCCTAGTGCAAGAAGTCCATCTTACTGCACCAAGTTAAAATATATTTCCTATCTCAAAATAGCCAAAGGAGCATATTCTTTACAAGATGAGTTTGTAAAATAAACAAAAGGTGATTTTTGTTTGTTTGTGTGTTTTGTAACATACTTTTTGTATTGTGTTGCTGTTGCTAAAGCTTTGTAAAACTGAAATAGCATTTGGGTAGGAGCATGTGATTTTTAACCTGATACATAGCCACAGAATGTTTTTGCTGTTTTTGGATAACTCCCCTGTTAAATGGATGTCAGCTTTGGAATCAGTATTTTCCACTCCTAGTGGATTTTTTTTTCCCCTTTACACTCCAGTGACATTTTGTAATGTTGAATTATTTCCAAAAACAGGCTGAAGAGGCTTAAAGTTTAACATGCATATGTCTTCAGCTTTTAAAAGCAATAACAGTACTGCTGTGGAATTAGGCTAATTTTGGCTAAATAGGAATTTACGTTATCTAGACCCAATATCGTTAATCTAGGAGAAGTTTACATTCTAGGAGAGACTTATTTGAAGTGAAGTTTTTAGGTACTATTTTTTTTTCCTTTGACAATGCAGACAGCATTTATATATATGTGTGTGTGTGTGTGTGTATCTACATTTAAACAGTTTTTTTGTCTCCTTCTAAGCACTGAATCCAGTGTGCTAGATTAAATTTAGCCAGCATTGTGTCTGTACATAAGAGAAGTATATACTGAAGCATAACAAGTCTGAAGCATAACCTTGTGTCTCTCCTTTAAAAATTATCTGTTTTGAAACAGAACTCTCTGCCTAAATAGATTTTTATATTCTGCAGTACAATTCAGAATAATCTCTTGCCTGTGTTAATGTAATTTGCTGTTTGGTTCTAGTCAGCTGGTCCACTTGATCCAAGAAACCCCAATGCCAGATATTTTTCTTGTCTGCTTTTCTTAAAGTATTAAAAATACCATTCTATCATACAGTTGTGCAGTTCAGGAATGTCATTTTTTATTCTCAAGTTAGACATTAGCAGTGCTGTTAAAGTCACTCAGTCACTTACAGATGGGAGGTGAAAAGGGCCTTACTGCCCAATGACTTTGAAATTCATCAGGAGCCAAGAATTAGTGGTCTTTGTCTTTCATTGGTGATTCTTTTACTTCTTGTCTTTACCCTTTTGCATGGATCTTAAAATTTGCTTGATGTGTCTTTGTAGCTCCTGAGTGTGTGTCTGATTATACTTCATTAGCATAAACTTCTAGTTTAGCAGTTTTGATAGTCATTGTAGTTTCCTCCTCTTCAGAACGTGCCTATGCCTTTTGCAGGCTGCCTTTTACACTGATAACTGATTCTTTGAACTTTTTAGCCCAAATTCTCTCTCTCTCTCTCTTTAGTGATCTCGTCATAAAAATCTTCATCTGTTGTATCGCCTAGATGAAAGAAGAAATAAAAATAAACTGAAACATAATGCTAAAATAGTAGATGACTAACAGTTAAAACTGTCAGTTGCTTAAGATACCTCTCCTTATCCTCTGTTTCATGGTGGTCTTTCAAATTGTGTAAAAGTGCATCCTCATCGAAATTGCCACTTTTTTTTTTCTTCAAGTGTGTAGCTCCATAACAATTCTGTATTGTCCCCTTTTACACTGTAGATTTTAAAGGGCGTACTGCAATATGTTTAGAATTATGTTCACTAGTCAGTGAGATCTGGGCAGTCTTTATTATGTCTGGATTTTTACTATAATATGTATGGCTTTTACATTTTTTTTTATATGCCCAATTACTAGTGGTTGAAAAAAAGCTGTTCAGAACAACATAAAGCTAGTCAGCTATTGTAAATCACTATTCATCTACTCCATTGAGGCACTCGGTTTTAACTGTGTTGTTGGTACTTTTTTTTTAATTTTTTTTTGTCTTGGCCTGCTCTTTCTGGCAGTTGTGACTAGCTTTGGTAACTTCCTTTAGTGAGGCTGTTCTTTCCAGGCTAGGATAAAACATGTTTGGCTTTTTACGTTTTCAGTATCTGAATGAACTTCACATAATTTTTCCCAGTTTATGTAATATGTTGGAGTTGCCATTCTTGTACAATAAGCAAATTTGGATCCAAGAGGAAGTTCTTCCTTGAACTGCGGAAATGACTTGGTAATACATTCTTCCAACTATTCTGTATTAATAGCTTTAGGTTTCTCCTGTCAGGTGTTTAGAAAATGTAAAAAATGTCTATATCTGGTTTAAGCTCTTCTGTAATTTTCTGAAATATTTCTGAGTATATGTCAAGTATCTTCAAGATCTTTCCGGGGAAGAAATGTAAATTTATAAAATCCTGTGTTAGTAACTGAAATAAATCTTTCTATTTTCAAAGCTGTCTTTTGTCAGGTGTCTTTTGACAATATCTAATGGTCTGCTTCATTTGACTGTAGCTTCATATCAACAATGATATGAAGATTTGTCATCCTTGTGATTAAAGAATCTTCAGGTGTCTTGATACTCATAGTTGTTTTCTTGGCTTTTGTGTATTTTTGCATTCTTAGCCAAAATAATTGTTCTTAGCACATCCCGTGCAAGTGTTCCTGCTCCCTTCCATCTGCAATGCTGGATAGATGGTTTGTTATCTAGCAAATTCTTTTTCCTGTATTCTCTCATTTCCCTTCTCTGCCCTAATCCCATACGCAATCTAATACATCATTAGGTTTTTGAAGAATAGAGTTTTGTTCCTTTTTCTTAAGAGACACACCCCACCAGCTCCTCTCTTGCTTTCTCTAATGTGTTTTAATTAATGGTCTGTTCTGACTCATTTTTCTCCTTTGATTAATACTATATATACATGACTTTCATTGGGAGGGGAATGCAAATTTAAGGCTTTAGAATTGATACTTTAAATTAGTATTGCTTGCTATAAAAGACATTTTTATTCTGCAGCATTGAAGAACGTGGAAATCTTTTGACATTTTTCAGAAGCCTTTCATCTTATGCTGAGTGGTGTGAACATCGTAGACGTACTTTCCTGCATTTCAAGGTAGTGTCTGTCAATCCTTTAAGGAGTTCATTGAGAACAGTAAAGTTTTAAGTCAGGAACAAAGGTAAAGGTTGTATTCTTCAGAGGAGTAGTATAATCCCTTCAAGTAGTGCAATAAGATTGATTTTTATTATGCTGTCGCTCATGTTCCTGTCAGGATGAGAGAAGTGAATATATGGGGCTTTTATGTGGAGGAGGGAGACAGGTCTTTTGATGGACTAGATCTGTCTATTTGAAAAGTGTAACAGCTTGTTTTTGGGAGACTGCACATATAGTTCTGAAAGACTTTACTTGAACAGGAAGTAAACTATTCCTTACACTCAACTGGAAAATAATAATTGAATTTATTCTAAATTATCATTATTTGTCATTTGCTTTGCCCTTGTGCTGTTGTTAAAGTGAGTATTCCTCAGCTAAAAAATATTGTAGTCTTACCAACACAGAACATGATATATGATGAATATGCCTTTACTGTGAGCCTAGGCTTTGAAAATAGATACGCATGACAAATTAGTTGATGGAAATTGCTCCTATATCTGATTTGCTGCCAGATCCACTTATTAATGTACTTACTCTGCTCTAAGTATTTTTGAGATACCATAAACACATAAGACCTGACTTATTTCAAAGACAGAATTTTCCAAATAAAATGTTTTAGGTAATATAGTTAGATTTACCTGTTTTAGACAAGAAATCTTAACTTATTTGTGCTTTTGTATTTGATGATCCTTTAAGGAAAATAAGTAACAGTAATGTTCAATCATTGCAATCACTTTAGGAGTCTCAGCTCTTGCAAGTGTAGTCAAAATACTGCATGTAATGCTATGTACTTTTAAAAATTATATATTTGTACATACAGGTAAGGATTTTAAAAGTAGCAAGCATCTAATTAGAAAAATAATTGAACATCACAAACTCCATTAAATGAAAGGATAGCTTTGTATTTTAGATTGCATTACTGACATGTGTTTGCATTGGAAAAGGCATATAGGTAATAAAGATGATGATAATTTGGTATCTTGCCTGAGAAAGAAGTGACCTGAATTCACTAGAAGACTAATGCCAAAGGCAGTGTCCTTGAAAAATATTATGAAAATGTTGTAAATTATTATGATCCCATTACATTCCCATAAAAAAAAAACAAAGAAAATGTGTTGGAGCATACCTTGCAGGTGTACAGTTTCATTTTCTTGGCTGGAGCATCTTTAGAAACATTCTTACATGCTTTTGTAGTCTATGAGCTTGCTCACACTTTGAGTAAACAGCAGGTGTTTTCCTCTTTTAATGAAAACTTCCAATTGCAGCACACACAAAGGTTATTCTAAGTATCTTAGCAATATTTTTCAATAGATCCAGAACATTAGCTAGTGAGGTAATAATCATGATGGTAATTGTTTACTAACACTCTTGACTGTACTAAATCAAATATGTAGTATGTCACTTTTTTACGTACTTAGTAATCTTTTCTTGTAATACATTTCTGTATAAACACACCAAAGTTACTTAAAAGATTTCTGTCTCATCTGTTATATGCATGGCATGATGCTCCTTCTCTCATTATTTGCTTTTTGCGACTGCAATGTAACAGGGTGCCATTGACATATTTCAGAATCCTCAACGTTTTGTACTTCTGTCTGTAGTCAAAATTACATGTGATATAAACATTTGTTGTCAAAGGTACATCTTTACTATTGCTGTTGTGTCCTGTGAAACTGCATTCAGAGTTGTAGAGTCAGAGTAACTCTGCAAATACTGGCAAATTGCACTACTTTGCTTTTCAGTAGAAATATGAAGTTGAAAACTGCTTTTCTCTTGACTTTGGTAGGTTCTTACGTGTTTTGCACTGGCTTAATTTCTAATATAAACTAATCAACCAGATTGAAAGAATGACATGGTTTTCGTGACAAAAAGATATGTGAAGAAGTGCTCACTGAAGACTCATTGTATAATCAAAGTTTATCTCAGTCTTAGCAATATGGTTTATAAAGTTGCTTATCTCTATAGAAAAAGATGCTTTAGGCCAATCAGTTAGGGACAATATTTCGTTGCTTATCTCTATAGAAAAAGATGCTGTTGAGGAAGGCCAATCAGTTAGGGACAATATTTATGAAATATTTGATTGAGTATCAGCCTAAGAAGAGGTTTTATGCCTGCTTGTTTCTGGCAGCATCAGTAATATAATTTCATACACAAAGAAAAGACCTTTTGAGGAGTGTTAACAAAGAGTTCAAAGATCAAATCTCACAACTCAAAATGCATTCAAAACCAGATTGCTAAAGAGTACACATGTATTAGTAACTGAATATATCATGGTAAGTTGTATGAAAGTGACTAGCAGAGTACTCTTAATATGTATTAAAACAGATGAATGAACTTACCTTGTAAATATTCACAGACAACATTTATTTTTTTCAAAAAAAAACACAATATGGAATCTTTATGTCGTATTGTTGCAGGTTTAAGTAACTATGGGTAGAACAAAGTTGACTTGGAAGCATTGTGTGCACTACACTATATACTTCTTGACGCTGTGCTTTGACAGGTGTGTTTCTTTACCATGGCTGCCCTCCAGTGCTGCTCCTCTGATAGTGCTTTAAATGGATTTTGGCATTTCCGTAAGACTTCCCTATGTTTTTGTATTTTAAGTCTCTGATACTTGTATAACATTACTTATATGCAAGGTCTTGATAGTGTTTATTGTGGCAATGCAGTATCTGTGCAAAATAGATTTACAACTACAAATATAGTCTGAGCTAGACACGCCTTTAGTCTTCTCTGAAACTGAGTAGTTAAAGTATATTTGCATTGCAGTGAGAGCAGATTGTTGAAGCTGATCTTGATAAACAAGAAAAAAAACAAGATTTATTGGAAATACAGAACAGAAAAAAGTAATAGGAAAAAAATAGGGTAATGTACATTCAGCTTGTTAAAAGTGTTGGTCACAAAGATAGAAGGCAAAAATTCCTGCATACTGAAGCCTTTCTGAATTATGTTTTGCTGGCTTAGTTTACTTTGCTCAATTTCTAGCTAATTATATCAGCTAATTTACTGTCTATACAAGAATCTCAGAAGATACCACTTGTCCATTCTTGTTTGCTCATAAAATGTTCAGACAACTACATTGATGTTACTGTTGATTTTTTTGTACTTTTTTCAAAAAACAAAACTTTTAAAAAGTATTAAGTCTTTTGTGGTGGTGGTTAGGTTTTAAATCATCTGTGTGTGTATGGCAAATGGGCAAATAGTTGTACACTTTCACAGATGCACTATTTTCATAGAGAGGTATTAGGAAGACTTATGGTATTTACTAATTTCATTAATTTTGAAAATATTTTTATTTAGTAAACTATTTGAGGGGAGAATAAGATCAGAGACCACTACTTAAGTAATGTTATTACACTTAAACTTTTAGTTGTTTTTGCTCCATCTTAGGCATTTCTGCAAATAGACATAGATGAATTGGAGTGCAGTTGAGGGTGGTGGTTGTTTTTCCAGTAGGATGTTTCGTTCAAAGTTGGAGCATATTTTACATTCTTTGGGGCTGTATTTTATCTTGTGATTATCAAACTGGAAACATTGGTGTCATGACTTTAAATGAGAAAATGAAAATCAAATTCTCACTGTAGAACTAGGATTTGTTATCCAATCCATAAAGATTCCATACAACATTGGGATTTCTTATTATATCAAGCAATTTAAAAAAGGGAAATATCAGGAATTACTGTAATATATTAATAAAGTTATGGGTTTGGGGCAACATATTTTTTCTTGATTTTTGTAACTATCCTCTTTCAAAAAGATGAACCCAGAATTCATATGGTCGCTTAGAAAGCTTGTATCTCAACATGCCTAATGACAGCGCATCGGTACGCTTAGAATTAAATGTGCACTTGCTAATAGTTCTTCATAGTACTAGTACAAAGAAATCAAGGCATAACTAAAGAAGATAAAAATAATTAATATACCATATCTTATAAAATTAGTATTCTAGGTGTATGATGATATATTATCATGCATTTGATGCTTAACTACTCCTACAAATTAGAAATCCATAGTAGTTTCATAGATAGTATGAAGTCGATCTGGTAATAACAATTAGCACATTTTTGGCATTTATTTATCTGGAGAACTTTAAGCCTGTACTTGGTGTTTGGAGGAAGAAACTGAAAATTAAATTCAGCAGAAATATATATTTGTCGTTAGAAACAGCATCTTTTGTATGAAAAAACATTTCTGTTTCTGGCTCAACAGAGCTCTGGCTGAAATCTTTATAATTCATTAACAAGTAGAATAATTCAGCTTTGTTGTTAATTATATTCTGTCACTTTTCGTTATTAAGATAAAGCAGTGAACTGATGTTTAGGCTCTATCGTGTTACAGCAAAGGTACTCAGAGACAGACTATACTGTCCCTTTGCTGCTAGGTTAAAGTGGGGAGCTGAAGAATGAACTGAAAGAATGATTCCTATGAGTAGAGCTGAAGAATGTACAGGAGAGGAATGAACAAGTGTGTGTGTATGCATATGAATACACAAATATATATGAATATATGCTTATTTTTAATATATGCATATATTCAATATACTCCCGCCTACCTGACAGCAAATGAGGGTGTGCATTTAAAGGAAAATGCTTAAAACTCTGCTTCCTATGTTGCTTAGTACCCTAAGTCTGTAAACTGCTTTTGCTCATTTAAGGCATACTTTGAAACATCTTTGAAAAGTTCTGTTTCTAAACATAATTTTATTTCCCATGTAACTTTATTCATTATACTTTTGAAGCTCATCTATAAGCTTCATTTCAGAACAAGTAAATGTTTTGTTGCATGTCAGATGTCTTTTTTGTTTATAACTTGCCCCCCCCCACAAAATCTTTGAAGTTTTCTGAAAGCAAAATGTAGTGATAGTAAAAGGTTCTAGGTATGCAGAGAAACAGCAGTAGCAGGGGAGAGGATATAAACATGTAAACAAAAATAAAAATCATAATTACATAGGCAGTAGCTAATAATAGGATCCTACAGGCAGTGTTCTCAGGCAGGAAAAAGCATTGACATGCTTTGCCAAGAGGATTGGATTTCCTTCCATTCTTATCTCATCCATACTTGTGCGGATGTAACGCGTATTGTTAGATTTGCAGAATGTGTCGTCATTGATTGTAGTGATATTGTTGTACTGCAAAACAAAACAGTTTGATTATTCATTGAAAAATTTTCAAGCTTTCATTTTATTCTTTATAATTTCACATTGTTGTCATTGAGATTTGACTTGTGTATGTTTTACAGACATATACAGGAATCAGGTATTACCCAATCTGTGAGCAGATAAATGGTTTGAGATTGTTTGTGCTCATTATAAAGGATTATTGCTTATACTACTACTAGTCCTCATCTACAGAAACCAACGAGAAATTCTGGCACAGCATCTAGCTAACAAACAACTTCTGACAGTAAAAGAAACTTATTTTAAGTCTTAACTACTTTTTTCTCCTGTATATCAAGAAGTTCAGGTTGAATGCTGAATTTGCAATACACATAAGAGATGAAACGTTTTATTTGGCTGAGTATTAGGTAACAGCAGCACAATTGCACAACTACTTTGAAATATATTACTGTTGAGGCTCTTTGTAACACAGTACCTGAAGATGCAGAATACGCAGGCTCTCGGGTAAGTTAAGGGGAACAGATTCCAGTGCATTATGTCCTAAGTAGAGGTAGGCCAAATTTGTCAGCCTCTGGTAGAAAGAAGAGAAAGATTATTAATGATTATATTGCTAACTAGAGGTTGAGTTAATACTTATGGGTCTGTGATAAGATGTCAGTATTTTCTTCTGATCATGTATGATGATTGAATGCCCCTGAACATTTTTATTTCTTCTGGCAAAAAGCATTCTGTTGTTCTTTTGCTGAGAATGCTGAATTATGTTATACGAAGAAACTTCTAGAACAGCCTTCTATGATTTGGAAAGTATTAGCACATGAGCTATAAAATTTAAGACTACTTTTACAGCCATATCCTAGTTTATTAGTGTTTAAGCAATCCTCAGAACTGTATTTGAGCTATCAATTCTGAATCCAATATTTCTTTGTGTGAAAAAGAAAAGTAGGTAAGATTATATTTCAAAGATGAAGTAATTTTTGAGATGAACTATGTATGAGAGAGAGAGTGAGCTCGTTAAGAGCTGGTATTCTGAAGTGCCTTCAAAATAAAACTAAGCCAAAACTGTAAAGCTACATGGTTGTCTATTTCTTGGGTTTTAAAATCTATTGTCTTTTACTTACCTTGAAGGCATTTGCTTTGATTCCTCTGCTCTTGATTCTGTTTTGGTTTGCATTAAATGTTGTTAGCTTGGGAGGAAGAACGGGGAGTTTTACAAGTCGATTTTCAGCAAGAGAAAGCTCTTCCAGTAAGAGAAGCTTTGAAAAGGCTCCATCCTCTATTTCTTCAATCTGATTTCCACTAAAGTCAATTCTTCTCAAGGTAGCTTCACACAAAACAAAATAAAAAGCGTTGAATTTATAACAGCATCACATGTGAAATGTGCATGGTTGGGTATAAATTAGTTGTAATATTACAATAATGGATGAACCATCCTATTTTGATTTGCAAATGGCAATATTGTGAAAATCCACATTTGGGTTTGTTCATAGTCTAAAAGGTTTTAAAAATCAGGAAGATATGCTGGACTTTCCCTGTTTTCTAGAGACAAAACAATTTAAGTCGTTGATAGAAGTTCTTGTAGAATAAGACAACTGGGAAAGATTCCTTTAGTGTTTGAAGGACTTAATACATGGCTGGCTGTGATACAGAATTAAATTTCATACTGAGTGATCTGTACTTTCTCTGATTTGGTGGGAAAATAAGATACGTTGGTGGGAAAATAAGATACATTGGCCAAAGTAGTCTCTGATTTGGTGGGAAAATAAGATACATTGGTCAAAGTAGGTTTTCATGTTACCCTTGTGGTTCCTCTTCTACATATGAATTCTAAATTAAATAGATAATAAAGTTAATAGAGTCCAGCAGTATAACATGCATCTTATTTTGGTGTTCTTGTCACATTATTAAGAGATAAAAAACTTCAGCTGAATTATCACTTAAGTACAAATTAAAATCTCAGTATTTACTTACTAATGTCAGCAAAATCTGAGACTGCTATCCTTTTTATTTTGTTAAATCGTGCATAAAGATATGCAGTTTCCTTTGGCAGTGGAGGCACAGCTTCAATATCTATTTCTTCACAGTACACTGATCCACTTAAACACACACAGAGCAGACAAGTAGGTAAATCTGAAAGCAAATTATAAGTAGATAATTTAAAGATATTCACGTCATAAGCCTTAATATGCAAAACATAATTTCACTGGTCTTGCTGAATCATCTGTGTGTTTTTTGTATGCTGTTAGCAAAAAGAAAAAATGTGAAAACTACATAAATATTAGCTTCCCTGATCATCAGATGTCAGTTATGACAGCCATGAGCGAGATCTTTATATAATGTTTGGGAAAACTGTGTGAGGAATTTAAATGTGCCTTTCTTCGTGACTTGGTCAACTTGTGGACCTTATTGGCTTGTTTCCTTTTCTTGCTTGTCCTGCCTAGCTTATTTAACTTGGGTACATCTCTCACTGATGAACAGCTTTACAAGCATGACTGGGTAAATTTATAAGTATTCTTATGAACTGTACTTTTTGTATTCAGAATTTACCTGAAGATCCTCTTTCAATTTGCTCTATCAAAGGCAGAGTTTTAGAGAGCTTTCCAAAGAGGATATTAAAGATGTTCATAAAGAAAAAGATTAATATTAGTATCTTGTTATAGCATTAATATTTATTGCTTTATGTAAAAACTTCTTTTGAAGAATGTGGATATTATAATACTAGTATCTGTTAACTTACTTGTATCCTTTGTTGGCTGTACATTGCGTTCGCTGTCATCCCTTTGCAGTCTTAGGGTGCTGTTAGGAGAAACACTCAATCCATCCTTTGTGTGAGAGCAAATATTATTTAAAAAAAAGAAGTCTTAAATAGCACACCTTTTAAAAAAATAAATATTGTATATCCTTCCTTTTTAAGACAGTTTTTAGAGAAAAAGAAGTCTTTTATACACTGAATGACTTCTGTGATGTTTATTTTTTTCTGTACATGGATTCCTCACCTTGGGAAGATATTGCTGCAACCTTTTTTTAGTCTTAAAAAAAAAAAAACTACAGCTATGTGGAGAATAAATATGTAAGCTGTAAGTGTTTACAAAGACTGAGAGACTGAAAAGAGATTACATTATGCAAAATTTGAAGAGTTTACTTTCATAATATTATTGGCAAATAATAATTCCTATGGATATAGGCTGTGTGTGTTTTGCTTTACCAAAATAATCTTAGTAAAATAACATTTGTTTTCACTTAAAGTTGTTTAAAATTCTCTACTGAGATATTCTACATATATTTGCAAGAGCACGAAAACTTGGGTTTTCAGATCTCTTCTTTTCAGATACTGGTGAAAAGGTAGTAATGTGTTTTCGGGTTGAACTGCAACTAAGTCCATTTTAAAACTTGGGCTGCGAATGGAGTGATGCAGGAAACAGCAGTTAACTTTTCATTGAATACAACAGGAATTTTAGACTCATACACACAGTGAGTCATACTATGATTTGCATGTATTAGGCATTTTTGTTTTGGTTGACAATTGTACTTGGCTAGTCTCAGCTGCTGCCCCCTTTGACGGGGAATAGTTGTAGGAAACAGACATGGTCCTTTCTGATCTGCCTGTCTATTGAAAACACACGGGGAAGTGGAAAAGTACATTGTGCAAAGTGGGTTTTTTATTTTGTTGTCGTTTCCTCCCCGTCCCCTCCCCCCCCGCCCCAGTCTGTGTTTAAAGATTAGGGTCCTGGCAGGAGTACAGTGACCACAGGGAGGGAGAGCTTCCAAATAGATTCTGATTGTGCACAAGTGAGCTGGTTTCTTTATTTTCTCATTCAGGCAGGTATGATACAGTTCATCTGCCAGAATAATGTTAAAGTAACGCTATCAATATAATTATGATACTTTTTTTTTTTTTAGTGAAGTTATTGCATGTATTTTATTGTGAAAACTTTTGTATTCAGCCATATAAAATCCTCAAGCTTGAAATGAAGCCTGAGAAACAAATATTTTGGACAGCTGTCTCTGACCGTTTTTTGGCCTATGAATCATCCTTCACTTGGCTCCTCCCTGCATCTATCTATTCAGGCTATGCCTCTTTTTTGAGTATTTTTATGTAATGCTCGGGGTGAATTGGTTCAATCCAGTAAGATTTTTTTGAAGCAAGTCAGAGCACTGGAGACAGTTTAGCAGATGTGGAATTAAACTTCTATGCAGGTTAAGAATTTTTGTAGTGTTTTGTGTAGAGAAGCTGGACTCGAACAGTCAGAGGGGAAGAATCAAATAAGCATCAAATTTTATAGGTTAATACAATTTTGTGCTTTGAGAAAGACCAGCCTCAGAGTAGTTAATCTTGGTGCAGTCCAGGAACCAAGCTGACTGCATTGCCAAAGTGACTTGGTCATTTGGCTCATAGAACGTCCCTTTGCTGTGGGAAAACTAGCTTTACTATTAAAAAGAAAAAAAATCCATTTGTATCCATTGTTAGTACCTAACACACAAGCATTATTTCTTTTTGTATCTTTTTTTTTTTTCCTCCTATACAGCTGTGTCTGCAAGACCTTTTATGTATATGTAGACCTTTACCCCTTTACCTTGGAATTTCAATGTAATGGCACACAATTTCCTATTATAGGAATTTCTGTGTAGGTTCTGTTCTAATTGGACAAATGCATTTTTAATATCCTTCTGTGGATTTTTAATATCCTTCTATGAAAAGCATTTTTGCTCATCATAGTAGTATCTGCACCAGGATGAGTTTTCTAGTACAGTGTCCTACTTGAGGCATGACACAAGGCAAAGTGTGCTTGCAAGTTCTCTGCGGAATACAGTGCGGAAGTAATTTCTGCAAGAAACAACAAATGTGTCAACAAAACAGTGGGATGAATTATTTGAAGAATACTGTCAAGTGCACAAAGTGAAACAATATGTTTTCCCTCCTTCCCCAATGCTTAATATTTTGGAAGTATTTCCTGGTCTGCTATAAAAATTCCTAATCATAGAATATCGATGCAGAAAATAGTTTGGATTATAAATGTGGAAAAGGTATGGCTTGCTTACGTAGGCAATGCACTAAAATAATGCTGACTTTCCTATATATTGGACTCCCTCTTGTACTCTAGAGACATGAATTCCCCATGGGTGAGCTTGATACTATTTTTGCATACAAATTTTTAATCTATCTAAAATACTTCTAAAACACAAGGGTCTATAATGCTGAAAGTTTTATTCAGTGAGAAGAATTAATCCTGATTTGAGCTAATACTAGTTTGATTTATTGATCATGACTTTACCTATCAATATGTTAATATTGTTTACTGACCCTACCTTCCTAATTCTAGATTAGAGGCAAAGCCTCTCCTTACGACTTTTAGGAGTTGGGGAAACCTTGTATCCATAAAAACAAAGGAAACAATTGAATTTTCTCTCCCAAGCCTGGTTAACATTTTTTGAGATAACAGTGATAGTGACAAAGCATCTTTCTAGTAGGCTGTGAGACTTAAAACATGTTTTAAGACGTACCTTTGGAAATTATGTTTCCAACTGCATTCTTGCATTAGAATGAATGAATGACCTTGCACATTTGTGAATGTACGTTGGGCTAAATGACACAAACGGAAAAAGTACATAGTACTAACAGACACTGAAAAGTAGTATAGTTCTGTGTCCATTCAGTTATAAATTCAGGCCTTTCGTCACTATCACAAAAGCAGATTCGTATGCTCACTTATGAAAAAGTTCTTTTGTGAAAATTAACATATATTTTAAAAATTCTGTGGAAGCCATGATTTTAAATGCTATTGTAATGCATTTTACTTGGGCAACCTTTCTTTTAATAGTAAAGTTCACTTTTTGTTTGTCACTAATGCAAATGTAATTGTTTCAATATTTTTGCAGAAAATCCCATTGCTGGTTTAAATTTGGTTCAAATCCACACTAAGCAGTTATACTGGTCATGCAAGATCCAGACCTTTGGGCATGCTTGAGAAAACCATTGGCATGTATTTCAGAGGCCTGAAATATTCTAGAAGCTAATATCTGTACGACAGAGTTTTGAAGATTCTTTGAACATCCCACGTTTTAATCTGGGAGCGCTGGCACTTGTATTTGTTGCACATAAGGAACTAATTTAGTATTTTGCAATGAAAGCATGTCTTGGAGAACAAACCTGATAGAAATAACAACTGATTGCGTTCTTAGAATTATCCTAAGCAGAACTGTTGGCCTCCAAAAAACCTCTAGTTTACAGCACTGCCAGTACAGACTTTGATTAGTCTGTGACACATCTGTTGGCATCATTTCCTTTAGGTATGCCTTTTTCTTCTTTTTCCTAAAATAATAGTATATTCTTATTAGAACAATTTTAGTGATGAATGTGGTTTAATGTGGTGTCTAACTTGTTAATGCATGCAGTATTTTTTTTTAACTATGCAGTTGTAAGTGGTAGCCACCTGTTAAAAGTAGTTTAAATGGTCTTTTTTCATAGGTTTATGAAATAACATATTACTTCATCACTGTGACAGATGTCAATATCTAGAAATACGCTGCAGATTTAATATTATTAATATGATTTTTAGTCTAACTCTGGAAATTCATAATTATATATAGTAACACTGAGAAAATATTAAAGATAGCCTATATCTAGAATGTGATTTTTCTATAAGCATGCTGCAGTTCATTGCCCATACTAATAATCTTTGCTCTCTTTTTTTCATGTTTATCAGACTACTCCATTGTAATAAGCACAATTAATATTAACAAAAAAAGCTTGATGTTCACTGCTTGGCTGTTACCATTCTGTTTGGTTATATAGTATTTTTCTTGGCAACTAGCTTTGAGACCATCATTTTTGCCTTTTCTTCTGACTGCCTAATGAAAGCTGCATAGTTCTGTTGATGTGCTGTGTGTCTCTAGCATCCCTTTAGAGGCAGCCCAAACAGCGATATAACATTTTTAACTGTCCCTTTCAGCTGAGGCTACTTTTCTGTATTTGTATCCTCTATTTAAGCATTAAATATTTAAGCATTGTCATGTACACAAGGAACACAGCAGAAACGCTGAGAAGTGACCACCTGGGGGTGCTGGTGAGTGCTATGAGGCATTACTGCCTCTAGGGCTCTTAAAGCGTTAATATTATATAGGTGACTACAGCAACACTGGATATTCCACAGAAGTTCGAGACTGCTAAACTCATAACTCATAAGAATTGCTGTAGTTTATGATGACCTCCTATTTATGATAAAAATACTGTTTCAAATACCGCTTTCATATCAAAAAAGAAAAAAAAAGTATACTGGGAAAAAGGAAAAAAAAAAACTTGTCCTCACTTACTGCATTAATACAATATTAGTCAAACTATTCAGCTACTATGATAGAACTACCCTTCTAGACAATCTTAGAATACCAGGCACATGCATACAGCACAGGTAACAATGATTCTTTAGTATACTGGGAAAAAGGTTTGTGTGTGTTCTTTTTCTTTTTCTTTTCTTTTTTTTTTTTTCTCTACAGACCTTAGCAAGGGTAGTATTTTTGTGGCTTTAATTTGAATACCTCTCACATTTGAAATCCCTGTATGTTTTGCCATTACAAAGCTTTTCCATTAAAGTTGCATACATGCATGTCACAATTCTCCCATATAATGCTTAGCAATTAAAAATATAAAATCGATAAGATAAATACCTTTTTTATATCCTTGATTTTCGTTTCATAATCTTGTTCGATCGGGCTTCCTAGAGCAGTGTCTGTATCATACTCATAAAACTTGAGGGATTCTTGCTGTAGAGGTGGTGCTGACTTCACCAAAGATACAAACACAAACAGAAAAAAAGGCTGCAAAGTCTTCATTTTAGCAGAGAACAACGTATCTGGCTTTCACTGAGCTGTTGAAGAACTGCTAGAGTGTTGACTATGGAGAATACTTTCTTTGTGACTGGAAATGAAAATGCAATCCGTCAAAACAATATTTAAAGCCTAGAGGACTAGTTGGCAGGGGTTTCTAACGCATAAGGAACATGGAACAACTTTTAACTCTTGGTATCCTTTAATTAGACTTTAGTATTATATGAACTGTTCTTAATATGAAGAGAAACAGGGAAATTATAAACAGTCGTTTCCAATTAACAAGAAAAATACTATCTTACTTGTATTTTCTTGTTTCTGAGCATATTATTTCTAATAAGAGCAAGAAAAGGTTTTGGTTAAACCATTGTTTGAACTACTTGACATGTGAGTTGTTGAACTAATTAAAACAGCAGAAGTTCAAATGCATTTTTTTCATTTTGTCAGAATAATGACTTTCAGATCTAACTATTCTATAACAACAATCTGTCTCATTGTATTATCTTTAGATTTGAAAATAAACAACAGAAAAAAAACCTATACCTTTTCCTTTCCTTATGGAGAAAACTTTACAGGCTATACACTTTTTTAAGAAAGCTACAATGATAATCTAAAAATATTGAAATACTTTTTCAAATAAGTCTTTTATACCACACTTTTTTTCCTTTTTTACTGTAATTATTTTTTATTTAAGCTTTATTCAGCGTATTTTTAGGGGAAAAAAAAGTCTACCTACCGTTTTTGCAGATTCAAAGTCCTTCTGTGTTTGCCCTGAAACAGATATTCTTATCTACATGTTAACCCAGATTGGTTTGATGAAAGAGTAAAGTTATGGATTGCATCCAAGTTGTTGAAATGAATGCTATTTCAAAGATTGACAGACTTT